CTATATTGGCAGAACCCCCTGGTGGAGACATAGTGTAGGCAGCAGAGGGTGCATCTGCGCATGATATTAATGTACCTGAACAAACACTGGCACAGTTTGTTCCAGAGTTTATTGCTCCTGGGTGCAACTTTTACACACATGCCCAGGACTGTAGCACATTGAGCAAGGGTGGAGCAGCACCGGCTGGCAGGGAGCCCTGGGGGTCAGCCTGATAGTCTAGAGCTGCTCCACCCAGGCTTAACACGCTATGGAGGCACTGGCTATGGGGCAGCCAGCAGTCAGCCCCTGCACTGTAGCACCCTTGTGCCCCAGCCAGCCCTGGTCTACATGTGCATCGTGGCCACTAAATAATTCTGTCATAGGATTGTACTTGTTCCGGACAGTACTATCCTACAGAGAAGTGAATTAGTTTACTGTGAGCTAATAGTGCTGCCTTTGTAGACGGTGATGCTTTACTGTGGAGCTAATTAGTCAACTCCGCAGTAAAGCACATGTGTAGAGGTACCCAGAGGGGCTTTTTTGCAGACTTTGTATCACAACCTCCCCAAATGACAAAAGCTCTGACAACTGAAGCCATTTTCTGCAGGCTTAGCTGCATCCAACCGGTAGCTCTTGACAGCAGTGGTAAGTCTTCTAGTGGTTGTGATTTTTGTCAAACCCAAGGCCATTTAGCTATGTTGGGAAAGCCATAGTATTAGACCAAGTCTAAGAAGAACAGCCCAAAGGTAAAATGAGCTTTGGGAGAAAAAATTGAACCAGTCTGTTAAGAACTTCTTTGGATGAAGCTAAGCTGCAGCCACTTTTTATCCCATGTAGCATAAGTGGTTGTTTGGGGTGTCCTTTTCACTTATTCTTGGCATAAATAACCCATTAATTCTGCAGAAGCCATTTTGTTGACAAACTTGGCTTCCCCATTCCCTCCGGGTTATTGTTTCAAGAGGATTTGGAGGAAAATAAGATAACTCTTCTGTTGGCGTGGAACAAAAATATTTTGAGAGAAGGCTTGCTACATCGTATTTGAAGTACGGAGAGCTCAGAACTGGAATCTCGCATCTTAAACCCCTTGTTATATAGTTAGCTTTGAATAAGTAAGACATGGCCTGCCCTTGAGATTCAATGGCACTGTGCCAGCTGCCCTCCAGGCTGATCTGTTTCTCTCCAGAGCAGAATCTCAAACTGTCTCTATGATTCAGTTCTGAGTCAGATTCAAAATAATGCTTTCTGGTCCTGCGGTAGCTAAAATGTCATGAGAACTGATGTTTTCACAAAATTTCACCTCAAAGTAGCAGACATCAAAAAACTGGTTTCTTATCCCATTTTGTCCTGGAATTTTGTTACACTATCTATCATGTAAGATTTTGGTATTGTCATTTCAAAGCTGATTTGACATTGACTATGGACCATAAAAGTAAATCTGGAGGCTAAACATTCAAAATTCCTGATCCATAATATGAAACCTAAATCCACATGGCTAGCTTCAAATTTGGTTATTTTCCTGAGGAAGGATTCTGCCATATGTTTCAGCGGGATCCTGTTTATCTTTTTTTTTTTTTTTTGGCATTTCATTAAACTTGCTATCATCTGAGTGCTCTGAAAGCAAAGAGAATAAAAGGAGTGTATAGTGGGTAGAAATGGGAGAGGAAATCCACTGGTAAAATTTCTGCTGTTGCTATTGTGTGCGCACAATCTTTATATATGTTGGGGGACTTTTTCGTTTCCCACATTCTAAAATGCAAAGAATTCAGACTGAAAGATGGCACTACAAAGTTGTTTCCTAAAATGTGTGTAGGGGGAGAAGTGTGCAAAGTGGGTATAAACCTCAGCTAGATTCTGACATACCCTCCCAGTCTCCCAAAAGAGTGCAGGGATCTATAAGAGACATCCAGATAAATGATTTGGGGAGCACAGGATATGCTGGATCAGAAACGTGGTCCATCCAGTCTAGTATCCCAACTGCAACAGTGTCCACCACCAGATGTTTCTATGGAAAGGGTAAGAACACAGCAGTAGACAGGTATGTGGCTAATTTGAAATAGTTTAAGCCATGGAGAATGAAGTTTGCTGTCTTGTTCAAATGTTTAGTTAGTGCTAATTATTATAACTCTGATATTCTTGTTATCCAAATAAATGCACAGGCACCTTAATAGTCTTGCTAAATTCTTTGCCTTGCTGATATCCTGTGACAATGAGTTCTAACAGCTAATTTCATATTGCATGAAAAAGTATTTCCCTTATCTGTTTTCAAGTTTTCACCTTCTAATTGGATTGAGTTCTTCTACATTGTTGTGGTATGAGACAGGAAGAACAGAAATGTCTCATTTGCCTTCCTTATGTGCCAGTCATACAATATACTGTCTTGAAGGAAATGGTTGCAGTTAAGAGGATAACAAGGTAGGGCTTCCTGCTTCTCTCTGCATTGTACACAAGTTAAAAACTCTCCTATCGACTTTTGCTTTGTGGCCCTTGCTGTTACAAACCGTACCTCGCAGGCTTACACACCTTTAAGGGAATTCTTTGGTCTTCACTGGAGACCCTTAAATTGAGAGGACATTCTTGACATGTGTTTTACAAATGCACACCAAAAGGAATAGAAATTGCAATTAAGTATTTAGAATATGTATTTTTCTGTGACTGGTTTGGTGCAGGGCATAGGAGTTTGTGACTGAAAGCAAAGGAAATCCTTATCCAATGTCTCTAAATGTTTGAAAACTTCCCAGCCAAAGAACATGTGTTTCTGCACATTTTGAGTTTTTTTTAATATGGTTTGTTTTATCATCTACTCTGGGCTAACTTTATGATCAGCAATGTCATGAGCAAGAATGGCATCCTCTCTGAGCTACCAGAGGGGGATTATTTGTGAATTACCTCCCTATGTGGTCCTACTCCTTGGAGCTGGGTGAGAAAGACCTGAACTGGCCAGGATTTTTTTCTTTGCTTCCTCCTAGTTTTGCAGCCAGAGGGGAGACTGGAACCAGCTTATAAGTTGCTGATTTAATATAGAAGCTCATAGCCAGAGACCCTCCCATATTATTGGGCTTGAATTGTTCACTTGTGCCTAGGGTTGGTCTTGCATTTGCTAAATGCATTGTGGCAGGCTTTTACTTCCCTCTGTTTTCAAGCTTTTGTATCTTTTATGTAGCTTTCCCCCACAACTCGTGTGTGTGTGCATGTGTGTGCACGTGCATGTGTACACACACACACACACACACACACACACACACACACTTCCTAGGTGGTTGATGCCATTGTAGAAAGTGCACTTTGCAATGCTCCACTTTTGTCTTGCTGCTAAAAAAGCCTAGCATTCAAAAATCTAAATGCATGAGGCAGCCTCCTAGAGAACCACTCCATACAAGGGCCATTTGTTTCTGGATCCTCCTGTTAGTGGTGCATTGTGCTCTGTGGGTATTTTCTCCTTGCTTTTTCCCTGGTTTCAGGCTCAGGACAATGCCCAGATAGCGTGCCAGTGGCTACATGTTTCTGTCCTTTGCATTCAGCTTTTTCTCTCATACAACCGTCTGTCACCTCTTTCTCCCTCATGTGGCCTTCTGTCATCTGCTTGTATTTTAAGTGCTGGTATCTGTGTAGACAGAAGCAGATACTAGGAAAGGGTTGCTTCTCTCTCCTCTCTCTCTGCTGTTTCACAGATCTCTATCCAATTCAATTCAAATAACTTAGAGATGATTCTGAGATGATCATTATTATCATTATTTATTTATTAATTACCAGTTCCAGCTCTTTTCAGTATAAAAACCTGCTCTCCGCTGCTTTGACATGCCCTGTTGCTGGTCAGAAATTTAATAGACCCAAGCCAAAACTGTGGAATCAACAGCCCCGAGTTTTGGTGGAGTTTGGACTAAGATCTCTATTTTTATAATGAAAGACAGCTGTGTCTACAATGAAATATTCCACAGCAAAGCCAGGATCCAAAACACCAGTGTCCGATTTTCACTACTAGGATCTAAATCCAAATATTGTATCTTGGGCCTATCTTTAATCAAAGGAAAAGGCAAGTGTCATTTATAAGAAAAGGGTCTCAACAAATTATTGTACTGAAGAAATAAATACCAGCCACCAGTAATGCATGTTAACAATTAGAGCTACCTGTGAAATTGGGCATGAGGCTGCAGTGTAGTTGGCAAGAATTATCAGCCTGCTCCATGCTTGTGGGAGAGTCTGAAGTTCATCAGTCATTTACAAACCATTATCTAGCCCTGTGGTCCAGTTTCTGGTCATTACCAAGTAACTTGTATGTGGAGCTTGTTTTTGATATGATAATTTTTATTTTTAAAATTGATAACTTGGTATATTGTGCCCTGTAACTTTTCCAGGATCAATATACCATATAGAATGCTTGCCAGTGCAGTTGATATTTAACATCTCAAAAACTGTGTGCCTCAACTACAAGCAAAAACTGCACAGTTTTAATTTCAATCACTTTCCAAGCCAATTTAATTAACCCGTTGCCATCCCCTGTATGTTCCCTTTTATTCCATCTTAAGAGCTGCACATTTAAATCAAGCTTAAAGCTATTCCTGATTTACTTAAGACAAACTGAGATAAGCCTAGTTTAAATGGAAATAAAGAGTCCATGAAGCCTGTTAGCACTGATTTAGCAAAGCTCAAAGCTCAATCAGTTTAAAATCATGCTTGTTATTTAAATACATGCTTGTAGTTTAAATCAATTCAAGTTTTTCACTTACAGCTAGCAGTGATGTCCATCAGTCTACAGTTTGCCCTTCCCTAGCCCATATCCTCCCTAAGTCCACTCCACTCCAGAGCTGTTCCCTAATCATAGCTGTTTCTATCTGGGAAAATCTAGAGTGCTTCATGTGTGATGGTAATATATGCATTTGAATGTGATATAAAGTAAACTCTTAGAATTACCCATGGTTTCAAAATCCAAATGCAAGCATTAAGAGTGTGCCGGAAATAATGCTGTGGAAGAAAAACAAAAGGCAGCTGTGAACTAGGAAATAAATATCAGGCAAAAGGCAGTATCACAGCTAAGAGATATACTTTAAAAGTGGAAACATCTCTGTTTAATTGCATTTAAAATATGTAGTGCGAAACCACAGTTATACATTGTTATAACAAACCTTTACATCTGAAATCAGAATAATACAAAAAGGTGCTGATACTGTTGTATGATTAGGTTTAGAATAACTGATGTGAAATTTTGACAACATTGTCTAACATTATTTAGCCCCTGTCAGCAAACAGTCAGTGGTGATCACCTCTTTTTTAATCTTACAGGCCTCCCATCCTCCAAAATTTTTTTTATTTTTGCATAGCTTTAAATATTGCTGTCCCCCAACCCCTACACCCACAAGCCCATCTCAATTCAGGGATAGATTTTTAAAATTCTTCAGAATTTTTAAAATCCATTTCTTAAATACATAATATATAATTTCTACTCATTATAAATACATTATTTTTATTCATCTGAATGTAATAACATGCATTTGTATAATTACAAATTGTACAATCAAAATAGACATTGACTTTATACAGTGTGTATGCCTTTATTTCAATGATATTGTTTAGACACACTGTTCAACAAATCAAGCGAATAGGGAAAAAAAGGCAGGGGGTGGGGGAAATTCTCTGGTAAGAAACAGAATCTCACAGTGTTTACAGACAAAAAAAAAAAAGGAAAAATACTTATAGGAAAAAAGATTTATTAGTACATAGAAAATTCCCACAATAGTTGAATCACACTTTAGAAACTAGTAAACACGCTAACTAGAGTTGTGCCAATTACGTAGTGCACAAGCATCTGCTTTATCTTAATTAGATGGGGAGGTGAATGACCACTGTTTATTTTCATTTTCCTCATTAATTATGAAAAACTGCATTTAATTCATCTTGCATGGTGAGAGACTGGCTGCGCAGATGTAAGTCGTAAGGGAAGTGACTCTCTGTAGGCAACCTGAACATGGAGCTCTGCCCAAGGGGACCCCTGGGTGGCACTGCACAGTAATGCATGCCATAATTGTAATTTTTGCCATAGTCCAAGCCTTCTTCTTGCTTCAGGGAAAATATCCCATTATAGTTAATTGGGGGAGGACTTAAGGGACCTTCAAACTGTGGGCTGGCACACTCAGGGGAAGTGCTTTCATAGAAGGACTCATAAGCACTGCAGTAATTGTAGGGTTTCATAGACTTGGAGTTGTCCAGAGTTCCATGCCCTGGGGGAGTGCTGAGCTCAGGGCTGTGGTAGGGAGGATAGAAGCTGGAATATGGTGACCTTGTGTGATGGGCAGTTTCACCGGTTTGACCCATCAAGAAACTTCTAGCATTCAGCTGCAGGCACCCCGCCACCAAGTTTGTAGTTGGCTGGGACAGACCTTTGCACAGGTTTTGGACGAATGTGAGTAAGTCAGGTCTCTTGCCAATTCGCAGGATTTCAGAAAGAGCCCAAATATAGTTTTTGGCTAATCTCAATGTTTCTATTTTAGACAGTTTTTGTGTTTTAGAATAACAAGGGACCACTTTCCTTAAATTGTCCAGAGCATCATTAAGGCCATGCATCCTGTTCCTTTCTCTAGCATTGGCTTCTTGTCGCCTGAATTTGATCCTCTCCATTCTTATCTTGCTTGTCTTTTTTTTCCTAAGGCCCCTCCTTCTAGGTAAACCATTCTCATCCTCCTCCTCTCTGTCTTCTTCCTCCTCTTCTTTTTCTGTGTCTTCACCAGCGGCCCTTTTGATATTCTTTCCTCGGAGTACAATCTGCTTTGAAAAGCTTTCTGGATTTTTAATTTGCTTTTGGTCCTCACTTTCTCTGGAAAACTTTCTGCACATCTGGGATTCTGGCATTACAACAGACTCATCAAACGGTAGTGTTAACATGGTTCTATAATCTTACGTTACCTGAAAGAATGCCAGCACAATGCTTAAATGTTTCCATTTGTAAAGTTTAAATACTTACATACACATTATATCATACCTTTTTCTTGCACGTATATATGGTATGCATAAATATATGAAGACATCTACAAATGTACGTATATGTAATAGACAAAACACAATTTTCTAATAAATATATTTATCAATTGCAAACACTTTTATATACACATATTTTAAAGAACATTTAGCTGTTCGGTGTTATAAAAACATTGAAACATGCAATATGTCACCACTATGTAAGTAAATGTTTTATAAGTAGATTAAACATATAAAATAATTTAAAGGATATACTTAATTCTCTATCCATATATCTTATTTTTAACAAGGTTTAGATTTCCCCTCCTCAGCACAGTGGAATTTAAGGAAATGCAGAAACATGATAAAGCAATGCAGAAATGCCATTAATTCACATTCCCCTGGGTAAAAAAAATGAGAAGAGCAAGACCACTCTTACAAAGGAAAAGTGATATGTCTCTATTAACTGAAAGATAAATATAGTTTTTAAAAAAATCACCTTCTGAGTTTTATTTCAAAGTTTGTTCACATGTATCTTTCATGAATCAACATATTTTGGTTTAGTGAGTTAGTATGGGTTAGAAAAGAATTTCAGTGGGAGAAAAGATAAACGAATCATGTAGTAACTTAATTAAAAATGAAGTGAGAATTTCTAATGATCAATATGAAAATGTGTGACACAGTATTTATTTCATATTAGGAAAAAAATCAGGACTGAGCTAACCGTATTCATATTAGAGTTGGTAACAAAATCTTTGTATTTTATTTTTAAAGATTCTAAAACAAGATTACAATTTTTCCTTTCTTTTCTTTCTTTAAAAAAAAAAAAATCAATTAGGTGGGGGGGAACCCCCCTACACGCTATAAACAGTGTTTATGTTCTTCAAGGCTCAGACGTCTCCCTCCAGCTAATATCTGACAGGAATGGTCTATGGATTCTGACTGCAATTGTGCACGTGTGTTCAGAATCCAGAATGAAATTGGAAAATAATTTGCTTTTCAAATTATTTATTTTGTTTCGGATTTCAGTTTTGCAACAGCAAACACTTGGATCCACAGTTCTCCAAGAGACAAGCACAAATAATGCAGGGACTTTTAATAGAACAAAACTAAACAAAAACCCAAATAAAAGATTAACTCTCTTTGTATTGTCTATATACTTGCAATATTACATAATACCAATGAAAGTATGCAATTGCATCATTAGAATGAAATGTTAGGAGAAGTTATTAGGTAGTAAACAGCATACAAAAAATACAAGACAATGATACTGTATCTTTAAACACTTGCATGCACACCCAGCACCAACTGAAACATATCTTTATTTATATTACCTTAGCTTTTTATTTCATTCAACAATCAGTTTTCATTTTTTGCCTTCCAAATCTTTTCAGTCTGAATGTCGCATCGTCTCCTGGAGTCTAGATCTGTGTATATCTGCACTATCTCATTGATCTCTAAAAAGTGACATTGATGCCAACTGCCAGAGCTGGTACCCATGCCATCTGCTAGTGACGTCACAAGGCAGAGAAAACCATGTGATCCTTTCTCCTGGGACCTACATTCTGCACTGATCATCTGGCATCCCTGTAAGTGGGTACCAGCATTCATGTATCAACACAGAAGGTTAGAGTGATAGAGAGAAAAAAAATCTGCACCAGCATTTCACATACAGTAGGTACATTTCTACTGGAGCTGCTTCTGTTTAGCAGTCAGTCTATATTGTCAGACATGCCAACATTCAGTTTTATCCCTACCTGCAGGTACAACTGCTCCGTAGTTGTTAATATTGCAGTCTTTATTTAAAGTGTTGTGTTGCATTGAACAGGGTCCCAATCTGTGCATCTGGGTACCCAGAAAAAAAGCCGTGAAAGGAAACCAGAAATCAGAAAGTAATGAAGGCACTAGGGCACACCTACACAGGGTTAGCTTTATGTGTAAGAGGGCATAATACTTGGGTGATACTTTCGTGAGCAATCTTTGTGTGTGCATGTGTTTAAAGGGTTGTGTGCTATTCCAGATCTCAAAATAATAGAAGAAAGCATCCTGCTGGAGTCTATAGAAGAAAAACTCAAATTCTTTTCATCAGTGACTTTTTGTAATATCCCTGGAAAAAAAAAGAAAAGACATTAGATGAAAACTAGAAGGCTTCAAGAATATAAACGTGTTCTGACATTAGAAACGAGTGCTTTGCAAGATAGATGTATACACTCACTTTTCACCCATTGCTTCCTGTGCAGCCCTTCTTAATAACTTGTGAGAATCGGAAAAATTTCCCCTTACTTTTCTTTCTAGGTGTCTTGCCTTCTCTTAAACCTTTTCCTTAAAAATTAAAAGGTCTTTTCTGTTTTAAAAATGTAGATGAGATTTGAAATATTTAGCTGCATATCCATTTTCCAACTGCTTCTTTTTCTTCTCCTTTCTTCATTCTGTTTTTCTAGTGTCATTTTCTCTTCCCCGGTCAGCTGTCTCTCTTGCACTATCTGTTCTTTCTGCCTTAACCCTTTTGTCTCTCTCATCAACAAGACAAGAAACTGTTAAATGAAGCTGACAAAGCCTTTCAGCTAAGCCTTGCTTTGGAGCCTGTGGTAAACTCCACCTTGTGCTTTTTTATTTTATTTAGGAGTGAAATGTCAGGCGCAAGCAATATATTAGCAAGAGTTAAAGTGAGAATGCAGTGTCAAAGATAGAAAAATATTTAAAGTTTTCTTTTACTATTGTCACGTATTGTAGCTTTTTAGTGACTCCGTAATCTCTGTTTTAAAAAGTGAGATTGAATACGGTTTTAGTATTAAAGTAATCCCTGGCAGAGCTGCTATTGTTATGGGTCTTTGTCAGCATTTCCATTATAAATCCTGTTTTTGAAGGGTTTATAACTCATCTGCTTTAATTCACATTGGGCCCAAGCTTGGCATTAATATTCTCGTCCCCAATCCAATTATTTTTGTTTTCTCAAAGTTTTGTTTAAATCCGGGTTGGGCTTTTTTTTGTAGAGGAGGAGACAGCAAAATTGCATGTGTGTGTGCACATGTGTGTGCATGTGGGCAGGTGTGTGTCTAGGTGTACATGAACTTTAGACACTTTAGCTCAATTAACACACAACCTTTATTTTCTTATTGCAATGAGAAGCTGAAGGTCATTAGTACTTTATCTAGGTTGGGCCTCTTTTTAAAGATAAACGTTTTTGAAGTGGCCAAGATTTTAAAAGTTAAGAGGCTAATGCTAGAGAGAGCAAGTTCTGCACTATTCATTACATTTATTACATTCTATATGGAATAGTATAATCCGTATAATAGAACAAAGGTTAAAACCCCATTACTCTCCATAGGAATTTATGTATTAAGATTTATATTATGAAAGGTCCTAAGGGTTGTCAACCTTTTTACAGACTTTGCATATTCAGATTATTACACAATGCACAATATTCAAAATGCGTGAAGTTCTGATCACCTGAACTCTGTTTCAATGCATACTAAAAATCCTAAGGAAAGATTGAAATGAAATCTGTATTAGTGGAAGAACTGTTAAGTTTTCAATCATATCCTCCAAAATACACGTTATCTAAATACTTTTTCTCTCTATTTCTGTTCAACTATTTAGAAAACACTTAAAATGTTATTGTAAAATATAATTTTGGTGTATTTTATATTATTACTAAATTAAAATAAATTGGTGTGTGTGGAAGGATTTCCTCTAAAGCAGTTGCATTATATTTTGCAGACTCTTAATCCATCATTTGACCTTTTTAGTATTTTCTAGTAAATTGCTGAGAAACAAAATAGCTGAGATATCCAGGTTTAAAAAGCATCTGCTATGCATGCATAATAACTTTTCATAAGGATTTTTACTATACATTTTGTATTGTGGATCCATGATATGCAAATGTGTCTTGCTGTTAATATGCATTCACAGCATACCCCATAACTGCTGCTTTCCTGTCTACTGTGAATGCATGTTAAGAATAAGATACAAAACATAGTTAAATGGAATGAATATGCAGCACATACATATTGCAGAATACACACCGCAGAACTGTTCGTATGCACAGATTGTAAAGGTTCAAACCACAATAGTGAAGATATTTCAAAGGACATATTATTATAATATATTAAACTCAGTTAAACATTAATAGATGCATTGAAATGATATTGAGTTCAAAGGATTTCTAAACTTGCATCAAGGGCCTGATCCAGAGCCTATTGAAGTCAATGGGAGTCCTTCCACGAACTTCAATAGGCTTTAATCAGATCTCAAGGGAACACCTTCTCTCTCTCTCTCTCTTTTTTTTTTTATGATGATCTCCTAGTTATCCCTCTCCTATCTCCCTCACCTCCCAGTGACATTAAAACAACATGAAAATAATGGAAAGTCTTGCAATTCTTACTGAGGACTAGATTCTGATATTGTGGCTCACATGGTACTGTACTGCATGAGAGGTACCACTGATGTTGGTGGGACGCTTGGGCAGGAAAGAAGTACTCAATGGGAATAAGAGCAGCAGAACCCAGCCATCAGTTTTTTATTCACATTTTAATCAGTCCTGACTGATCCTGCCACCAAAGTCACTAGAGCCAGAACTTCTCTTCCCTGCTTGTCCACAACATCTGTGTAAAGGACCAAGGGATATCTTCATCAAATGTCCCATCACATTCCACTGGGTGTAAACATTTTCCTCCCTCTTCTATTGGGGATCCAAAAACCTGTGCCAGGCCAGAGTTATCTCTAGCTCTAAGTTCTCATACCTAGTCATTTCCCATCTGCCAGAAAAGACCATAGAACCTGACTTATTTTCTCAGACATCACTTTGAAGGCGTCCAAGTCCCTCTGGGATGGGATGGTTTCCATGAGGAGAGTCTCCTCCATTCACAGATCTCAGGAAAGTGATTCTTGTCTCAGTAAAATATTACCAAGAACCTCAACATTTGGTTTGGTGTTCAAAAAATTTCTATTAGATCAAGAGAATTTATTTCAATCTGAAATAATATCTTAAATCCATTTTGAATTAAAGGCTCTTGCCATGGCTGTTGGAGACTTTATAAATTGCTTTTGTAATATCTTAGATCTGTAGAATATAAGGATGGCATACCTTTGATCCTAATTCTTTGTGGTTTGGATTGACTCTTAGGGATAAATTTGGGAGTGTTGCATAGGAGCTGACTATACAGCTTTACTGGGAGTCACATGGCTGAAACATAAACACTGTCTTTTGAAAATGGACACTATGTTAACGATATGATTAACCAAAATATATTCAAAATACAAACTTTGTCTAAGATCACTAAAACATAAATAAAATGGGCCCGATTTAGCTCTCATCTATGTATGGTATAATTTTATTGACCTTGAGTTATTTCTAATTTGCTCAAGTGTAAATAAGTTATGGAAGAATCGGGTCAAATATGTTAAGCAGAGTAGAAGCCAATGATGTAACTGGGGAGGGTGATAGGGGCAACCACCCTGGGCACCAACTTGGCAAGGGTGAGGTGCAAAAGAAAAGGAAGCTGCTGTTGGTAGCTTCACATTCACCATTGCAAACTGAAATTCATCACTTCCCTTTGTCCTAGCAGCCTAGCCATGTCCCTACAGTGCCGGTAGAAACAACTTATTTTAGGAATAAAACCCCAATTATATATTATTTCCACTGAGGGGTTATGCTTTAAAAAGTGATGGCACCATATGGCTCACCGGTTTTCATCAGATTATGTCCCTTGTCCAGGTGTAGACCGATAATCCTGTGTTTGGTTGAGGACAGTACAAAATGTTTTAGAGCAACATAGAATTTTCTTTAATTTGCTGGTTTAAGCTATCCCTTTCCCCCTGGGATTTCAAAGAATCAGGCAGTAACTGTCATGTGGTAATGCCATTATTTTTTAAACTGTAGGGGGTTAATATCATTACTCATGCCTTGTCGTGTAAGACAGCCCTACGGTACAGCTGGGATTTTAGGTTTTTTCATTCATACTCAGTGCCTGGAATTGTTGCATGTCTGATGGATTTTGTTACTAAAAATGGCTGATACACTTAGACTAGGGGGTGCTGAGTTTCCCGAGGTATACTTTTGATGTACACCTTCTAATCAGGAGAGAATCCAATGATTGGATGAGTGCCGCAGGGTAGTGTTTTCTTTTTATTATTACCAGAGAACTTAAAACATAGGATATTTTAGTTGCACCTTACACAATTTCACTAATTTACACAGAATTTCCTGTCTTGCTGATTTGTTTACTCCATGTCCCTGGTTTTAGAATGACTGTATTTACTTGAATACAAGACAAGGGTTTTTTTTCTCCAATCAGCATGGGGAAAAAAGCCCCTTGTCTTACATCCGTGTACAAGGAAATCTTGTTAAATACATTGGCCATCATTAAACTGCTGCCAAAAGTACCATGTGCTCAGTAATGGACATAGACTATGAAGTTAATTAAATACAGCCAACACTGAACATGACTATATAACACATGACCCGTATTGTGCAAACACACCTCAAACCACATTAAGAAACCCACGCACCCATTACAATAAACGCACCCGCTCCCAGAAGGCTAGGTTATCACAGCCCATTTGAATAAGATATATGGTAGTGCCCACTAAATGCTGTCCCCCCTCCCATCCCCCCCCGTGCTGACTCTTTCAAGTTGTGGTGAGCCATGGTGATACATTTCTACTTCCTTTTCACTCCCACAGCTGAGCTGTGCCTTTCTTTCCCATTTCCAATAATTCCTGTTTCTTCACCAACCTTAAATGCCTCACAAACATCATGAAATAGGGCCTCAAACAGTTCACCCAGAATCCCTCTGTTGCCCCCTATCTTAGCTTGTCATACATGATTAGTGTAGCTCTGCCCTCCGTGAAGTGAAGCTTGACCAGGTGGCCCTGAACATCATCTACATATAAATTTGTGGAGGATCCCAGGATTTGTGACAAGAACACCCAGTTGCATTCATGCATGGGTGGCTAATTAGCACATGGATCCTGAGCAGTGCTGAGCTGTGGGATCACCATGGCTTGAAATCCTGTTGACTCTGGTAGGGCCCAGCCCCCTCTATATCATAAATGCTGATTTTGGCTTTGAACTGATATCACGAGCAGTTTGTGCTATATATAAGTAGGTGCCAGAGTGCTGCTTAAACATGTGTTTATGGAGTACCTGTGCTAAAACTTGCAGCAGTTTCAAGAAAAGGTAACTTGCCTCAGTTCTGGATCAACTAAGTCCATGACTACTATATGAAAATTACTATAACTATGCTTAATGTCAAGCTCATTGTTTTCAAACTTGCTCCTCATGTCCATGGGAAGGCAGGGCCTGACAGTAAAGAGAGGGGGAAGGGGCTGCTGGGGAAAGAAGCTGGGGGGAACCAGAGAGCAGGGGGATTACCTGATCTTCTAGATTTATTTTCCTTGTACCAAGGGGAAGAGGGCAAATCTAAGGCAAATCTCCGATAATTAGATTCTAATAATTGGAAAATTTTAATAAATATATACATTTTCCATATATGGAATCTAATTATTGGATAGAGCTCTTATAACCAGGGTCATCTTTTATTTGAGTAAGTACAGTAGATTAAGTCTTTACTAGTGCCCATTATAAGAGGGGATGTGTAGCTGCCTGGCCAAGAAGGGGCCTGGAATGGAGCTGTAACATCCCATCTCAAGGCCTAGGATGGGTGCAGGTTAGGTTCCTCACCCTCACTATGCGTGTGGAGGCAAGGCAGGGGTCACTCAATCACCTTCTCCTTGAGGCAGTACAAGAGAGTACAAGGCAAGAAGCTCTAGCTTTTCCACACGTTTCAGCTGCACTGTGAACAGCAATAAGGTGATAGCTCTATTGTATATAAGTATGCAGATTTTACTCCCCCTTCCCCTCCTGCATAGCTTCATTTGAAAGGCATATTCTAACCCTTAGCACTTTTATATTAAAACCGTCCGTATTGCTAAAAATCTTGTTAAGCAGTGATCAGCTAGCTCTCAGTTATCCTCGCCGCTTGTTGAGATTAAAGGAAACATGAAGACCTTCCTCTGGACATGCATTTTCCATCCCTCTGGATTCCCATAATCCATGAGGTTGGCAAGCTACATTGTCTTCCCTATTCCACCCAAACCTCACCCACCTGAGAGAAGTGAAGGTGATTGATTCTTCTAATTGTTTTCTTGCCCTCCTGTAGACTTCTCTCTGGGAGGGTATTATTTATTCCCTAGCGAATGACCACGAACTACGGACCTAATCTTGGATCTATACCTAGGCAGAGCTTCCCTTGGTATCAATAGGAGATTTGAATACAAACTTCAAGATTCAGCTAGCAGAGCACAGAAGCCTTATAGAAGGCATAAATTTAGATGACAGGTATATAAGTTGTAGCCATATTGGTCTAAGGATATAGGCAGACAAGCTTGCCAAGATTAATTTTTCCAACTGTTTGAATTGGTCTAATAAAAGATATCAGATTTACCCAAACAACCTTTTCTAAAAACTGAGATGAGCAGTTTGTTCAGGACTGCATGGCAGGCTGTAGAGTACTTTAAGATGGAGTTGTCAGAATCACAAAATAAGATCTATTAATTTGGAGTCAGCTTCTGTTGGACAGTTTCTCCTCAGACTAGGTTATTATATGCCATAGGCTGGGGAAGCTGGTTGTGACCCCCATATTTAAGCTGCCTTGCACTTTCCAATATAAAAGATTCTTACAAACTTTTCATGAGAAGCTCTGACATTTCTATTAATTTTCAGCAGACCTTTGAAATTCAGCAGGGAGAAAGCCCTCAGGCTAGAGAAGTGACTTTTCTTTACCCCATGAAATTCCATTCTGGTTTATGGGAGGTGTGAGCTACTAAAAATCACCATTTCCTTTCTTTCACTTGTATTCCCCAGGCAGATTTTGGCAGCATGCTGAAATAATAACATCTTTTTAAAAAAAAATAGGAAATTATGTTTTTAAAAGCCTTGGTTAAAAAGAACAAATTTAAGGTTGCAAAGTCAGGCACTAGATAGGAAATGACAGATTTATGATTTCCTTCACATTCCTAAATCTTCTCCCTTCCCCCAGCCTTTGGTACACATGCATTTTGATAGCCTCCCAAGAATTGAGATCAGTTGAGATGCTTCTGTTCAGCTTTGGGTGAGTGGGGATTTGGGCATTTTTCAGCTGAGTATCTCTGATGAGGGCAATGTCCCCTTGCTTGTGTTTCAGAGTTTACATTTAGTGGCTTTATAGGGACAGGCATTCCTTTGAGTTGTCAGCATGCTGGTATGATGAAAACGGGGAAAGTTTCCTTTCAAAGACCAAGAAAGCTCTGTGGGGTGATGGGTACTATGCACTTGTTCCAAAAGTGTCTAAGAAGCAAAGATTCCATAGTGCTTCCCAAATCCACATGATATGTTCAGAGATCCCTACCGTTTTCATGGGCCTGTTAGCAAATTTAAACATGTGGAAGTGTTTTGCACTCAGCTTCCTCCCTATCAGTTCTATTTTCTAAATAACTTTTTCATTTTAAGTTACCTTTAAAATAATCTATGTCAATATGTAATGTTGATCCTGATACCACCCTTATGAGGTAGAAAATAAATGTTTACTCCACTGAGCATTACATTCCATTGAACAAGGACACATGGAGTGCATCCAGATGTGCTACTAATGCACTGTGCAGTAAAATAAGGTATTATAAACTTTCCCCGGGAGCGCGTCTACACGTGCATGTGTTGGGAGCAAATATGCTCCCAATCGGACCAGTTCAGTGTAGGGCTACTCCTGCCATGCTCTGCCCCCCAGCATCAGCCAAGGGGAGCTCCAGTCTCCCCTGGGTGCCAGTTCCAGGCTGGCAGGGAGCACTGGGGTCAGGCCTGGGCTCTGTGGAGTGATGGGAGTTATGCTGCATCCCAGCCCAGCACCCCAGTTAGCAGGGGTGGAGGCTTGGAAACAGTCCCCTGCCCTGGGCAGCTGCCTCTCTATCAGCCCTGTGCTCCAACTGGCAGATTGGGGCACAGAGCTGAGAAGGCAGGCAGCTGCCTGGGGCAGGGGATTGTGTCCCAGCCCTGTGCCCCAATCTGCCAACTGGGGCATGAAGCTGGGAGGCAGCTGCCCAGGGGAAGGAACAGTTCCCTTGCTCCCTGCTGCCTGGGCTAACCACAAGCAATTTGCTCCCAGTCAGCTGTCTACACATGCGCTACTGAGTAATAGTTATGGGGCGCATGTACATGAGACACCATAGGTTGTTGCTACGGCAATGTAGCATTGGCAGGCATGAACCGTGATGCTGACAATATTGCTCAGTAGCGTGGGAAAAAACCTGTGAGGGGTCAGGACTGTGCAGTAGCGCTGGTTACTATGCAGTCATTTAATACTTGCTTGCTTAAGCAAGTATTAAATGACTGTGCAGGGACAACTGTGCAGTCCAGCACATGTGTAGATGTGCCCACCGTGCAGTAAATCTACTACCTGTATCTACAGGTAGTACACATAATAGCCAACTATACAGTAGACTAATTTACTGCATGGTAAATGCTATATATGTGTAGATGAGTCTACTGTGCAGTAAAGCATCTCGTGTAGACATGTTCACGGAATACTTTATTTAAATTCTCTGCATCCTTTTGTCTTGCAGTTGGTGGCTTTAAGAAAATGATAACATTTTCTTTAAAAAACAGCTTGAGACAAAGGCACAGATTGCCTGAAAATATATAATCTCATAGCTTTCTTGCTCTTTGAAAGGAAGCTTTTTTTCATCTTCCATTTAAAATAAGTGGGATTAGGCATCTAAACACATTATAATCTGTGCCTAAGGCACTTTTCCCAAAACAACCATAAAGTCTAAAATCATAGAAAAATAGGTCAGGAAAGGACCTTCAGATGCTTATCTAGTCCAACACCCCTGCAGATCATCCTTATTCAAAATCCTTTGTCTAACCTTCAGCCAGTCAACCCTGACAGTCACAAGGCATAACACCCTAATCTGCCACAGGTAAAGCAGCGGGGAAAACAGTGGCCAATGTCCTGGTGTTGTGAAGGTAGTTAAAATGTACTCAAGAGATCCAAGGAAGAGGGCTGTGCCCCACACTAGAGGAAGACAACCCACCCCCTCACCACAATCAGTACCAGTCTGTGGTAAAATTCTTTCCTGACCCCCAAATATAGCATTTGGTACAACTCTCAGCAGAGGGGCAAGACCCTCTAGCCAGGGACCTCCAAGGTTAAGTCCTAGCCAAAGTATTGGCATACCCCAGTCAAAATCCTCAGCCTTGGCTGCAGCCAACCCTCAATCCTTAGGTGTGCAAACACCTATACATATTCACAGGATAGACCCAAAGATTTCAAACAGGAATTCATAGTTTCAAAAGTATTCTGACCCACGATGATTGTTCTGCATTCTTTGTAACAGAAGAATCACTCTATTATTTTTCTGTAGTTAAAAAAATGAGTGAAACTTAGTTTTTGAAAAGGCATGCTTCTAAATTTAGAAAACTTATGGAGGGTTGCCTTGAGTCTAAAAAGGTTGAGACCCATTGCCATATGAAACTTTTTAAAAAGACTCTTATGGATTGAGTTAAAAAGCTTTTGAGAAATTGAAAGATAACACCAAATTCAGGAGTTGTGTGGGATACCATTGAAGTCAGTGGCAAGAGGGCTATGCTTACTGAAGGTGAAATGAGAGTTGATACAGAATTTGAGTCCTAGGTAGCATTTTTCAGGGATGAGTTGATGAAGTTCTTATCAGGTAAGTCTGTGACCAGGTATCCTTCCAGTTATAAATCCATCTACCAGTAACTGACGTTTCCTGCTTTAAAAGGGACATTATATAGTATTGTTTTAAAATCAGATTTCTAAGGATAGAGTACAAATTAATGCCATAGGATTGTAAATTTTATGTTCTCATTGTAAGTCTTAATTTTCCTTGCAATGCCTAAAGGATGAAAAAACAACAACAACTGAGGACAGCGTAATAACCTGAAATATCTTCTCAAATGCACTGGGAGAGGAATATTGTGTCTGTGTTCAAAATACCTATAGAAAAGATCTTTTCTATTTGAGTAAGCATTTATATGAGATCTATATAAAGCACCCAAAAGAGGGCATTGTCTAACAAAATTTGAGTAATATTGGCTAAGAGCAGCATAAATTCATATTTCTGTCTGAAACAAAGAAACAATTATCAGGTACTTGGGGTGCACATTATTGTCCAACCTACCTGCTTTTATTTGCACTTTTAGCATCTAGTCTACTGTGCAGAGTTGTCTGGAAACCAGTGTCTGTAAGCCTCCTTCATCATATTACCCACTGAAGATGAACTGGTAATAGTACTTTACAAAATGGCATAATATTATGTTATGCATGGGTTGGCAACATGCAGCCTGCAAGCTGATTCTGGCTCCCAGAGCCATTGGATCTGTCCTGGAGAGTTGGGGGCAGTGTGTTGTGGTTGAGTGGGGGGGTGGGGGATGGATTTGCCTGCACTTGGGTGGGGACCTTTGGTTGCACTTGCGCTTGTGCAGGTGGCAAGGGACTGTGCATATGCTGTGGGTGGAGAGAAGTAGTGGCAGGGAAAAGCCAGTGTTTGTGGCTGCCGTACTGGAATATTAGTCCACCTCAGACCTGAGCTGATTTGTTTGAGCACTTGGGTTTGAAAAATTGCCAACCACTGATCTTATGGGTTTGATTCTCAGCTTTGCCAGAACACCCACCTCAGACCTGGCAGACAGAGATGGCGTTATGCTGCTCATACTTTGTCCTTCACTCCTGGAGATGGCCAGGGACTGGTTTGATCCACAGCACAGGTAAAAGCAGTCTTAGAGTGCTAAAAGGTACTTTAGTGGTCTAGCAGTACCTCTTTCTTCTAATCATATCCTTATAACACTCCCAGTCTGGGATGGGCGGCTGGCTTACACAGCTGTATAATCCCTCAGGGTTTCTCCTGGACTAGGAGAGACTGGAAATTGCTGAACGTTTAACTGTATTATGCAGCTTATCACTAGCATTGGTACTAAAACAGCATTGGTACTAAAGTACTGGAGGATTGCAAATGTGATTCCAAAATTTTAAAAAGGCTCTCGAGGGGGCCCAGGGAACTACAGGCTCGTGAGTCTAATTTATGTAGAAAGAAAAAGAATTGTTCAGCACATGACTTGCTGGAGAGGAATCAACATGATTTTGTCAAAGAGAAATCATGCCTCACCACCTACTAGAGTTCTTTGAGGGTGTCAATAAGCAGGTGGATTGGGGCTATCCAGTTGATATAGTATATTTGGACTTCCAAAAAGCCTTTGGCAAGGTCCCCCGTGAGGGGCTCTTAATGAAGTTATGTTGTCATGAAATTACAAGGAAGGTTCCCTTGTGGGTTAGAAATTGGCTTAAAGATAGAAAACAACGTATGAATATAAATGGTCGGTTTTTGGGCTGGAAAGAAGCAAACAGTGGGATCCCCCAGGGATCTGCATTGGGACTGGTGCTGTTTAACATATTCATAAGTGATCTGGAAAAGGGGTGAGTAACCAGGTGGCCATATTTGCAGCTGACACAAAATTATTCAAAGTGGTAAAGATCAAGGCAGATTATGAGGAACTACAGAAGTATCTGGCACTACTGAGTGAATGGGCAACTAAATGGGAGATGAAGCTCAGTGTAGATAAGCATAGTTATGCATATGGGCAAAAAACCCCCAAATTATATCTGCACTATGATAGGTTCTACATTAGATGTTACCACACAGGAAAAATACTGGGGGGTCATTGTGGACAGTTTGCTAAAAACATCAGCTAAGTGCTTAGCAGCCATCAAAAAGGCAAACAAAATATTAGGAATTATTAAGAACAGAATTGTAAACAAAACAGAAAGTTTTAATATGTTTTTATAAATCCGTAGTGCATCCATCCTTGAGTACGGTGTCCAGTTTTGGTCCCCAGACCTCAAAAAGATATAGAAGAACCAGAGAAGGTATAGAGAAAAGCAACAAGTATGATTAGTGCTATGGAGTGGCTTCTATATGAAGAAAAACTAAAGAGGTTAGACCTATTCAGTTTAGAAAAGAGATGCTTCAGGGGGGACCTGATAAGAGTTTACAAAATACTAAATGGTGAAGAGAAAGTAAATAGGGATTTATTATTTACTACCTTTCATAATACAAGAACTAGGGGTCATGGAATTAAGCTAGTAGGTAGTAACTTTCAAACTAACAAAAGGAAGTTCTTTTTCACATACTGTATAATTCCTTTCCTTCCTTTTTCATGTCCCTGTAACAAGGTATTTAGCAGAATTCACAGGTTCATTGGCATCTGACAGGCTTGCACCACGAACACTTCTGCTTGCAAACTCTGAGTTGTCAATTGTGCACCGTAGCACCTGTGCCACACCAACCCCCAGCATGTAATTAATGTATGGAACTCATTGTCACAAGATGTTATGGAAGCTGGCAGTTTAACCAGATTAAAAAAGGGCTTGGACAAATTCTCAGATTAAATGTGCACCAGGAATTATTGAGCAAGGGACTTAGGGGTATACAGCTTCTGACTCATACCTTCCTAGACCTTAAATCAGGGGTGGACAAAATACAGCCTGTGGGCAAGATCTGGCCCATGGAGGGATGTTGTCTGGCTGGTGGCATGTCCTTCAGTCCTGCCTGGCTTAGGTGCTGTCTAGCCCATGGTGCATCATACCACACTGCTGGGCATGCAGTGGGGCTGCAGCTCCGTGGCTGGACTCCATTTCCCAGCAGCCCTGGTGGTGGTGGTTCCTTCTAGTGGCTGCTGCTGCTGCTGGCCTCAGCCCCATGGAGACCAGCCAGGACCCGCGCAGGCAGTTCCTGAGCCCTGGGTTGTACGCTCAGCCTGGGGCTTGGGCTTTACCTGCACCAGTCTCCAGGGGGCCAGGGCCATGGCCAAGGCTGGTGGCAGCGACAACCAGAAGGAGCTGCCACCACCTCTGTACCTGAACCACTGCCTCTGAAGCCAGGCAGCAGCTCCAGCCC